TGGTTGACCAATCACAACAGAGCAGGCTAACCAATCAGAGCAGACTGGGCTCTGGTTTCAGACAGAGGGTGAAAAGAGGTGCTGCAGCACAGGCAGTATGAGAAAAATAAAGAGCTTTTGAACATTAAAGCATGGAGACAAAGTAAAGCTAATTTAAATTGTCTTTTTATATTGACATTTATCTTAATCCATAATGATACATCATAATTCATTAGTTAATTTAAATTCGTAATGATTAATATGAGCCTGCAAAGCATCTATAACTAATGTTGTCAAATTATTTGGAGGGGAATACAAAAATTGCCTTTGAATAGAAGTGTAGTAAAAATAAAGTAGCATAAAATGGACATAGTGAATTAGAGTACAGGTTTGTCAATATTGTATTTAAGTGCAGTACTTGATACGTTATTATTATAGTACTATATTTGTCCCCTTTTCACAACCCAATTCCTCTAGTTGTGTTCATGTATGCAACAGTTATACACCAAAGCACATTCCTTGTTTGTGTAAATGCATTCCCTCTTAACGTGTTTCTGATTCCTGATTGAGTAAATGAACAAAGTTACTTCCCAATACTGGTGTACGTTGTTAAATATGAAGTGTGGTCCAATTTTGAGCTGCTGCTGACGGCTGTGATTGGCCCGGCTGTGTCTCCTCAGCGATCCGTTTCTGTGACCGCTGCCAGCTGCTGAAGCCTGATCGATGCCACCACTGTTCAGTCTGTGATAAGTATGGCTCCCTCATGCACCATACAGAACACCATGTACTGCACTCTGACAGGAGAGAGGGATTCAATTCCACTGACGTCTGACCCCGCTGTGTTTCAGATGCATCCTGAAGATGGATCACCACTGCCCATGGTACGTAGTGACAACCATTTTTAAACTAATGTCAGTGACACTTTGCTAAAGGGAGACATGGTGAATCTAGGTGAATCTAGGTGAATCTAAAATATATCACGTCTCCAGTGTATTACTTATATTAGGAAGATCATGTATTCACATTTTTCTGAAATGCAATGTTTAAATATGTAAATCAGTCATTATTACATTACATGTCACTTGTTAGATGCTTTTATCCAAAGCGACTTACATACATTCAGTACTGTGGACAATCCCCACAGGAGCAATTTGGGGTGAAGTGTCTTGCCCAGGGACACAACGACATGCTGACTGCAGTGGGACTCGAACTTGCTATCCCCTGATTCAAAGTTCAGCGCACTAAGTTCAGCGCACTATTCCACTGAGCCACATTTCCTCCTACACTTACATTATTTTGTAAAAAATGTGCTCATTTGGGATGTAGCCTGCTTCAAAATGATTGTGTAATTTGGTCATAGTAGAATGAAATGTGTTTGCAGAGGCTCATTTTCTTTGTATCACTCCATAAATAAAAATTACCGCCATTAAAAACAAAATTAATAAATTGTTTTACAAATTAGTCTATGAATGATATATGAAAATTAAGCCGTCTGTAAACACTTTTAGAATATACATAGGAATGAAACTCATTTTGATAAAACAGCTTTTGAATATGTATTGTAAAACTGCATATATTTCACAGTTGAATAGGGTTATCATTTTTAAACTAATATATATCACTATATAACCTTCCCAATTGATCAATTAAGGACAAGCAAGTTCTTTGAAATCTTATGTTTAAACAATGAACAACGGACAACTTCTCACTTCAAAAAAGAAGAAGAAATCTAGACCGCAAAAATAATTAAACAAGCGAGTACCTGTTTTTCCTGGCCAAGGAGAGGTTCCTTGAACACAACACAAGCGTAACTTGTCTTCACCTGGTATATGTCTCGTCTGAAAGGAGTGCTGACAGAGAGCACCGGAACGCCGCTCCAGCCCTTAAAATATTGCAATACCCATAAAGAGCCGTACACATGCCGCAGTGTTTGCGTGGCTGTGTCTTTAGTTGTAAGCACAGTGACGATCTGTTGTTATTAGCATCTGGTTAGCTAGCTATGCTAACGAATTTAAAGCGCTTTTCTACAACCAGGTGGAAGAGAGCTCTCTCCTGAGAGGCTCAAATAACCTCAGCTCAGTGAGGTTAAGGCACACCTTGATATGATCAATATAGTTATTAATGAGACTAAATGAAAAACAGGTATAAAATACTATATGACAGTAACAAAAAAGTTGTTAAAAATAACAAGAATAGATTTTGAAAGGAGAGTGATTTGTAAAATATCCAAAAAGAAAAATATGCTTACAGTTCTGTTTCATATGGGTGTTGAGAGATGTATCCATAGATCTCTTAATGTTGCTCTCAAAGTGTACCAGATTGATGCTTTTAACTTCAATATTTAAAAATAAATCTTCCCGGGGGAGCATGCCCCCGGACCCCCCTAGAGGAGGTTAGGTCCCCCCCCCCACTTAAATCATGTTCACATGGATAGGATACTAAATACATTTGCACACATCTTGTGTCCATATCTTTCTGTGTTGGTGGTCATGCCACACCGTGCACATGCATGCATACGCGAGTCATGGTGAGATATCTGGATTAAGAGGTTGCTTTTTCTTTGCACAGCATGAAAGAAAGGCGAAATGAATGGGCTGTGATTTTGTTTTTTTTAAGCAGAGGTTGAGTTCAATAATTTGTACGACCCTCTGAGGATGTTGTAAAAATTGAAAGGAAAAAGGTTCCCCACCGCTGCTGTAAATAATAATAAAAACCCTTGATTTATAACTTAACACCTCTGTCTCCTATTGATCTGAGTATATTAAAGAATAGCCAGTTAATTGAAGCATTATAGCACAGGCCTTTGTCAGATGGTATATTACGCTGTTTTTTTTCTGCTTCGAATAGTTCTCTCTTTTTTCACCATACCTGTGTTTGCATCACTGAAACCAATGAGCATCTGCATGTGTATGAGAATGGCCCTGACTCCATGTCAGCCCAGATTTACAAACTCCTGGCAGGACAAGCTCCAGCTCAATTCTCACACTGAATTTAAACAAAGTGAGTGAGGGACTGCAATATAAGAGGGAGAGAAAGAGAAACTTTAAAACTGTTCAATTGTTATGATGTAAAGACTGATATTGTTCTATAATCGGCTGAAACTGTTAAGTCATGATGTGAAACGGTTAACAAAGTAAAAGGGACTCTCAAGCTGCTGCTACACTTTATTTTATTTATCTAAAATTAAGCACTTTTAAGATGCACATATTTTCAAAAGCTATTTTATTTATTTTCTCTATTTTATTTTGAAATGCAGGCCGAGAGGAACATTACATAGATCCACAGTATGTTACTGTATATCTGTATAGTTCAATGTTAATTGACAATAAATATTGTTGTTTTTGAATTGTACTTTATTTATTTGATTGGCAGTCAGTTGTTGATTACATGCAGACGTTGATAAAGCTACAGGTCACTTCAATATATATCACACTAATTCATGAAGCAAGTTAGACATTTTGATGTTCCGGACCTTTGCATGGGGAGATTTTCTCTAACTGGACCTCGTTGAATTTTAGTTGAAGACCCCTGCTCTAGGGGAATTGGATGAAATCTACAAATGAATATAGGGAAAATATTCTGAATAAGCTTGTTTGTATTTCTTTCTGAAAGAACATGTTTTATGGAAGTAAGTGCATGACAAATACGCTTTTGCCTCAGGCTTTTTTACTCAGGCTTAATGGGAATAATTTTTCTTCACTTTCCCGTTAGCGCTTGTAAACACATCACATGGAAGCACAAGGAGCTTGTTTACTGGACAAATATTGATACTGTTCTCCTCCTGCTGGATGACACATTCTGGAAACGGGGGGAGACAAAACAAACCAGTTTCATTTTCGCCAAACATTGGTTTATCATGGAAGTAGCTAAAAATAAGAATGCAACATGCCATCGGCTCACACATCAACAGGATCATTTGTTGTTTTCTGTTATGCTCTCAAACTACCAGAGGCCTGTACTACGAAGCCGGATTTTCGCTTAGCGAGCTAACTTCAGGGAAAACTCTGGGTTTCCGGTCCTACGATGCTAGTTCACTTCTTACCGGGCTAGATCTCCATGGTAACTAAATGCTGAACGGCTAACCTGCTCCGGAGCAGGTTAGGTTCCAGGATAAGAGATCAACTCAGTGAAAGCACCGCTTTCTGACCAATCAGAGCTCCGTGTGCGGAGTTTAAAGCTTTCACGTCATATTACAGGATAGAGGAAATACAGAAAAACTGCCGTTGCTGGAAAGACGGCCGGCAAAGATCAACTTACTGTGAACGTGAAAATTAATAGAATATCACCTCCCATCTTCAGAGCAATCTGACTATTATACACATTAGCGTTAAGAAAGCTTACTTAAATATCTGCCACAACATAAGTAACCGGATCAAAGTAACATTATGTACAGTCCGTGGCACTGTGAGTGCAGACTTCGATGTGTCCCATTATCATTCATATCACATCATAATGTATCATATATTTCCTTATCTGTGTCAGCTTCTTGAGCCCGAATGGTCTCAACCATATTGCATCAGTAACGTGCACTTGTTGTTACAGCAGGATCAGTTTGTGTGTTGTGGACACGACCCGTATATTTCCGCAAGCCGTGTTCTCAACATTTAGCTTATTATTTAATTTAATTTGCTTACTTTAACATCATTGTTCATGGTGGGGCTAAGCCATTTCTTGGTATGGCTGTAGCCTACCCCAGCCATACCCTGCCACCAGTTACCTGCCATAACTCAAACATATCCATGGTATGTTGAACTGGATTCGTAGTACAGGCCTCTGGTCACCTTATTCACATGAAACAAACTGATTGGAGGTTCATTAGAAAGTTCGGCCAAAGAAATCTGATGCATTTATCTGTTATGTCTCAGAAAGGGCTTAAAATAGATTCAAATACAAATACTTAGGTGCATATCCACAAAACCCCTAAAACCCCTGTCACCAATATTTACCGTTCTTCTGTTTTCGACTCATTATCAACATTCAGCAGACTTGATGTACTAGTGATAACATTTCCCTTCTCTTACCTCCATCCTCGCTGCAGGGTGAACAACTGTGTGGGGTTCGCCAACTACAAGTTCTTCATGCTGTTCTTGGCATATTCACTCCTCTACTGCCTTTTTATAACCGCCACAGATCTTCAGTACTTCATCAAGTTCTGGCTGGTAAGTCTGGCAATACTACCACAAGACAAAAGTGTTAGCACAAAATATGTCAAATCAAATCTGAATAAATCTGAAAGCATTCTATGTTGAATATGTGGGATTTGATTTCTTTTAACAAGGCTGGAGGTAGAGCACATTTCCGTCTGAGAGAATATCGGGTATGGATCAACTAGTTAGTGGCACTGAAATAGAAACAGTTTAAAGGAATAATTCAACCACAAAATAAGAAATTGTATATCGGTTACTCCCTCACTGTTACCTTGAAATAAAAGTTGTTTTACATGAATCCATGGTGAACAAAGAATACAAAAACTGAGACAAATCGTGATGGAAGTAAGTAAATGCAAATGAATACAAATCCAAGACTCAGCTGCCCAATCGCATGCTAACTACTTCCAAAACACATGTGTTTTTGCTAAAACAGGAAAGCATGTGACCCATTTTTTGGAAATGTCCAAAATGATAAGGCTTTATAGTAATTGCTTTTGATATGTTGTGTCATTTACCTTCTCCGTTTTTTAATGTGTTCACCGTACAGGCATTGAAGTTTCCTTAAATGATTCAATGTAACATGGGGAGATTCATTTAACAAAGAATAATGTTAGAGGTGAAGTATTCCTTTAATAAGCTCCTCAAGAACACCAGTAGAGTAGAAATCCCTCAGGTCCCACAGGCTCAAAGTGTCTGCTCTGTTGATGCTGTTACTCCCCCTCAGAACGGCCTCCCAGACACTCAAGCTAAGTTCCACATCCTGTTCCTCTTCTTCTCGGCCTCCACGTTCTCCGTCAGCCTGGCTTCTCTTCTGACCTACCACTGCTGGCTCGTCTGCAAGAACAGATCCACTCTGGGTAGGTGCTTCCTGCCTGCGTCTGTGCTGTAATTATACGGTGTCTGTTTACTCTGTGTATCTGCTTTGTCTTTGCTCTGATGAAGATGGATGTCTTGTTGTGTTTTCCTCTCAGTCAGTCTCCATCCTTATCAGTCATTTGACGAGCCTGTGTTATCAGACAGCAGTTTCTCATTATGTGTGCACAGTGGCACTTTGTCCGTGTGTTGCGGAGATTGGATTATCCAGTGGAGTATGTTACAGTGTAATGCAAAGACACATGGCTCTGAGCAGTAAGCAGCTTAGTAACAGACACTGATATGGAGAGTCACACATGGTGGCACAGCGTCAGTTCTGTAAAACAAAGACACTTTCATTCACAGTTTGTTGCAGCCATTCAGCAGTTCATGAGTTTTCTGAATGAGCTCCTGCTAATAATCTATATAAAGACTGAGAGGGAGTGCTGAATTAATCTATCTCCGTGTCAGACTCACTTTTCTCCTCCCTGTGTCCTCTCAGAGGCAGTACGTTCTCCGGTGTTTCGCCACGGCACCGATAAGAACGGCTTCAGTCTGGGCTTGAGTAAGAACTTCCGCCAGGTCTTTGGGGATGAAGTGAAGTACTGGCCAATTCCTATTTTCTCCGGGTAAGGTTCAATGGGCATTATATAAATACAATTATATTCACAAAAAAACACCATAAGATTGAAGGAGATAGTTAGGATTCTTTGGGGTAGGATTGTATTAGGTACCTATCCATAGTCAGTGTATTACGTGCAGTAGATGACAGTTTGGAGAAACAGACAGAAGTACCAGCACATTATCGTCTGCTATATTTACAATATTTACATATCTTTACCTTTCTGTCAGACCTTTTCTGACGGGGGACTGAAGCTGTTTTCTTTACTCCTTTTAAAGTCCCGCTTCCCCATTCAAAGCACTACATTACTTTACTACCTTCTGGTACTTTACTCCATTTCTGCTAACTGGCAATCGTACTGCCATCTGCTGTAGGTAATACTATGACTATGGATAAGCACCTCAAACAACCCCACTGATCCATCCCTTTAAGGAGGGTAAGCCAAATAAATCTGAAGCACGTGTTAATTATTTATAACTTATTTTGGAAGGTTCTTTGATAGTTAACTAAACCTGATAACTGACAAGTCTTGAGTCTGGACTGAAGGACAAGCAGGTCCAAAACGGCAAGAACCATTACTCCATGCAACTGTAGTCAGTGTCAGTAAAACTGTAGATAAGCACATTATGTGGATATGAAAAGTTTATGAGTTATGTTATAATGCAAATTCAGTCTAGCATCACTATGCACAGCACTGGTACACATTGACTTTAGAGAAGCGTCGAACGAGGGAAGTCCTCAGCTCGGGGATCAGAGAGTCTGTCACTTAGTCTGAAACAAAATGGTTCAAAAGAGGGAAAAGTCTCAGAGGAGACGTGCGAGCATTAGCTCCAGTAAACAACAACAACACCGCTGTGAATTCATGCTGAAGCTCCAGCTTTGACGATATTGCTAATTCATTCTGCCCGAGTGAATACTATTTCACATTTACAGCTTTTTGGCATTTGATGTCCAAACATTATCCCCTAATATCAACATTCATCTATAAAACTAAATATGTTGTTGTGAAGAACACATCAGATCCATAGACTGTATATATAATGGACGTAGTGTCCGTGACGTCACCCATACGTAGGTTTCTGCAGAGTTGCTGAGAAACCCTTAGTAGGCGGCAGTGGCGAGCCGTGACTTTTATACCTAGGCCCTCTGACCCCCCTTCCCTCGAAAAAATAAGAGATATTACGTCACAGCGTAATAAGCGTAATATCAAACAACGGCCCGGGGTGCAAAACGCATCAATGACAGCGACCCTCTACCACACAAAACAACACCATTTATATAAACACCTCTCATGACAGGGCACCCACAGCCAAGTAACAATTAAAAATGAATTAAGTCGGCACGGCGGCCCGCATTGAAGATGACTTAGGCCTACCTCTGATGATCAAATCACTCAAACACAAAGTCCATCCTCCTGTCCTTTTGGATGAAGCAATTGATGGCGGGTCATTCAGCTGATCCTTTGCTACTCCAATGTATCATTGTAACTCAATCTTGAAAATGACTCAGTTAATAATTTCGCAACGATGTCATCACTATCACTGAAGTGAGCCATCATGAACAAATGTATGCTAATCATAAATATATCGATCATAAATCTATCGATTAGATTTATGATTAGAAAATTATAAAAGTAGGGTAGACATGTGGATATTATCCGGCTGAACAAAACGTGCATTTATCTAACAGGTTAGTTTTCCACAGACCTTATTTCGAGCTATTTTCCAAAATCCTATGGAGAAATCCCATTGCTTTTTCGTAGAGGGAACCTTATTATACATCCATGGAGGGAACCCGAGCGCAGCTTACTTCCGGGTTTTAGGATGCGTCACTGCACCACCTTATACACATGCATAAACTTCACAGCGGGCGGAACTTGTCATAAAGTCCGCGAAAATAAAGCCTACCCATTTAGAGGGAAGATATATATTGGTCAATTGTACTGTCATTTGACATTACTCTCTCATTGAGTTACTATAGCGGGCCCTCTGTGAATGTACAGAGGGACCAACAAGCTCTCCCGTCTTCACATAACTCGCAGAGACGGCATTCACATTCCAACATAAACTGAACAGGCAGATTCGAAGGATTTATTTAATTGGAAATGTTATTTTAAATACAATTAAATCAAGTTATTTTGGTAAAACTAATGAAAAATATTTTTTTTTAAATGTTTTTTTTTAAGGTTTTCAAATATTTTTTTTTAGATTACTTTAGGCCCTCTAGAGTCTCTAGAGGGCCCTGACGGCTCGCCACTGGTAGGCGGATTCGGCCACTTACGTCTCGACAGTGACGTCAAAGTCTAACTCCCGCCTGCTCCAGCCTGATCCAAATAAGGGCAAAGAGGCGGAGCCGAGGCGGCATAAGAAAAGTCCGATAATTAAATGAAGAATACTCCACCAGGCACCAACACAACAAACACGTCCGAGTTCAAGTTGTGTTCCCCGGATCAGCCTCGCAGCTGAGCGCCTGTAGCATCCTGGTGCTAACAGAGCTAACGTAGCTAGCAAGCTAGAAGCAGCAGTCACCGCAGAGACCTGTCCATCAAAGTGACCACGCCCTAATTTATGCAAAAACGTTAAGACCTAATATAACTAAAAGGGGTGCGTTATAAAAAAATGCACTCCCCAATCCATTGTCATGAAGGTGGAATCTAAATATATCCAGAATGATTTTGTATTGCATCCATGGGTAGAAACATGTTTATTTCTGCTGTAAAGTTGGCCATTTTAACATGGAAATGGAAATGGAAATTGCTCCTTTCTGCAGCCATCCCCTATTGGCCAATAGATGAACTGCAGTTTGTGGCACTTCCTTATGGGCTTCCTGGCTCTGCCCCTGCTCTGCCCCAGAGTTTGCCGCTTGATCAGATCCAGTTGTAACTTCATACGGAAATCCATTTTGTTACATTATTTGCAACAACTGCTAATATTTGTTCAGTCAAAATACCCTGTTATACTCAAACACAGTAAATAGAGACATTAAACTGAGACTATGTAGCCTAATGTTTAAAAGACTACACACCATTCTTACCTTTATGAATAAAAAACTAAATTCATAAGAAAGACATTGCACCCCTGGCCTGCTCAATGAAAATCTTTCTGGCTGCTACAGCTTTACTTCTCTGGTATGACAGCTGGCTAATGCGGCTAATGCTAGCTTATGGGGCTAATGCTAGCTAATGATGATTCATCAGTTCTCTACTTAAGAATATCCTAAAAATGATATTCCCATACAACAGTAGTTCATTGTCAAACACTTGTTAAACGAAAACATATTTTCAATGTTAACTTGTTTCAATTTATGAATGTAACTCAAGTTGTGTAAAACATACTTATTTTAAGCCAAATCATTATCTGATTTTTGTTTTACAACGATAACCATTTGTTAAGAACTGCGACCATAATTGATGAAAAAAATAAGGTTCCCCAAAAAACTGAATAGAGAGTACATTTAAGTTTTATTGGAACATATTTTAAAATGTTTTCCCTTTTCCTTGTGGTACTCGTTCACTGTTTTTAGCTGTTTTATTATTATTATTATTATTATTATTATTATTATTATTATTATTATTATTATTATTATTATTATCCTATAACTGCCACTGGTAAGGCAAGGAAAGGCAAGGCAAGTTTATTTATATAGCACTTTTCAACACAAGGCAATTCAAAGTGCTTTACAAAAAATGAAAGACATTAAGAAAATGGCATTTAAAATCAGTCATTAAAAAGAAAAACTAATAAAAGAAACATTAAAAGAAAAAAGACATGGATAAAAGTTACAGTGCAGTCTAAGATATGAATAGTTCAATTAAACATTAAAAGAAAAAATACATGGATAAAAGTTACAGTGCAGTCTAAGATATGAATAGTTCAATTAAACATTAAAAGAAAAAATACATGGATAAAAGTTACAGTGCAGTCTAAGATATGAATAGTTCAATTAAAAGCAGCGACAAAAAGAAAAGTCTTCAGCCTGGATTTAAAAGTAGTCAGAGTTGCAGCGGACCTGCAGGTTTCTGGGAGTTTGTTCCAGATATTTGGAGCATAATAACTGAACGCTGCTTTACCATGTTTAGTTCTGACTCTGGGGACAGAAAGCTGACCAGTCCCTGAAGACCTGAGAGATCTGGATGGTTCATAATTTAGCAGGAGGTCAGAAATGTATTTTGGGCCTAAACCATTCAGTGCTTTATAAACCAGCAGCAGTATTTTTGAAATATATTCTTTGACACACAGGAAGCCAGTGTAAAGACTTCAGAACAGGAGTGATGTGATCCACTTTCTTAGTGTTAGTGAGGACTTGAGCAGCAGCGTTCTGAATCAGCTGCAGCTTCCTAATCGATTTTTTAGTGAGACCTGTAAAGACACCATTACAGTAGTCCAGTCTACTGAAGATAAAAGCATGGACAAGTTTTTCCAAATCCTGCTGTGACATTAGTCTTTTAATCCTAGATATATTCTTTAGGTGATAGTAGGCTGATTGACTGGTAGTCCCAGTTTCGTCAGTTTGTTATAATAGACTCACTTTAACTTTTTATATTAGCCCTAGAATAGAATAAAATACATATATTGTACACATATATATTTCCTATGTCACCTAGGCTATTGAACAGATATATTTCCAGGTTTTTATTTAGACATTTTCCAACTCCGTTTTTTTTTCGCTTGACTTTCCAGTTTAGGCGATGGGTGCTCGTTCCCGGCCTGTCTGGTGAATCTGGACGTGGAGCAGGCTGCCTCGCCCACGGGCTCCACCCCCGTCAACAAGATGTAAGGCAGACAAAAGGAACACACACATCCATAAAAGAAAAAGTAAAGCACAGAAACTAAAGAGCTGCAAAACTGCAAGTCAGCGCCTATTGGTCTATTAACCCTTTAGGTTTAATGAAGCGTGGGAATCACCTTGCAGCAGTTACAGTCTTGCAGTTTTAATTAATCATTCAGATCATATATGGATTGCAGGATTTAGGAGTATTTTATTTATAGAAGTAAATACTCCTCCTAGGCTCATGATTTATGTCCATAAATCTGTATATTTGTGTGTGTGTTTACAGTGCAGCAGACGGACGCCAGTTCCCCTCCAAGCCGCTGAGGGAGTCTCAGAGTCGGCTGCTCACCAGCACCCCCTCCTGGACAGAGAGTGACATCGCAACTGACAAAGACAGGAAGGGTGAGATAATGTTATACTATTTATGATGTTTTTTTATAGTCACTTGCTTAAATAACCCCAAGAAAAATGTTTTTCTGAGATACACGTTTCTACCAATATCAGTCTTGATAAAAACTACTATGAAGTCATGATTGTACCTCTTTAATGCAAGTTGGTCTTCACAATGCAATAATCACAAACGCAGAACATTTTCTCTGTAATATATGCTAGGAGAATTGGTTTTCACAGTCAGTGTTATTAGCAACAACATTGACTCAAATGCATTTTAATTTACTTTTGAAAAAAACACTTGAAAACAGTTGGCCCATGGGGCAAAAATGGTAGAAAATAGTACACAAATATTCTTTGTAGTGATGGATAGATTGAATGCCTGATAAATGCTGGTCATAAATGCATGACTTTCAGTGGACCTATTGTGTTTTTCGGAGGTTTCCCTTTCCTGTAGTGTGTTATAGGTTTTTGTGCATGTAAATGGTCTGCAAAGGCTAAAATATCTCCCCCACACTCCTTTACAAGTTGGCCAACAAGTTTAACACAGGCACGCACAACTAATCTTTTTTTTTTTATTAAGCAAAACCAATTAATGTCCACATTTAGGCGCAATGGCTACATTATTTGTACTATTATTATTAATTTGAATGACTTCAGGAAGCACATGTGTCTATTCAGGTGCCAGTAACCAGGCGATGACCATAGAGCATGAGGCGTAACCTGTGGTGGAGAAACAAGAGACGTCTTCAACCCAGAAGAGGTGAGTTTACAGTCTCATAGAATCTATCCACGTATCAAGTTATGAAATCAACAATAATATGTCTTTCATTCAACAGGTGTACGGCACCCTCCTCAGTGTTTGTGACTATCAGAACTTGACATGGTGATGACATCATCAAGAATTGTTGTTTCCCATAATTCACCTTGCTTCTGAGAGGTTTACGCGACGGATATCACAGCAGAAAAAAAGCTTATCATCGGTATTACTCTTTTTGCTATCACCAACAGTTTTTGCTGCTATCCTGAAAGTATTGGGGCTTCAGAACGGGAATTTAAATTAAAATTGCATTCCAACAATCACGTTTGTACATGATAAGCACAGAGCAGCTATGGAGGGGTGTTTTTTAACACTTTGTACACTAGGAGATCATTCTGAGCTGCTATTGTGATACTGAAAAAATAAGGATTGTTTATGTCATTCTCCTAGCTTAGCACAAAAATAAATGCTGTTTTAAGTTTGCCAAATGTTTGCACATTGAGTATAGACTTGTAGTGGTGTTAATGTGATGTAAGTGATGTTTCTTCAGCCATTTATTTACTTCTGGAGGGGGGGATTGATGCATGCTCTCATCTCAGGATGTCAACTCAATCACACCCATTTGTAGTGAAAGATGTTACCCCCTTTGCTTGGACTGAACAAAATAAAAGAAAGTGTAGAGGTTAGTAATTCCATTTGAATAAGGGCTCTTCTTACTGGTTATAGCATGAGTGAGGATGTTGCTGTCATACTGCAGGTGCCGTGACAGTGTTTTCCCCTGCCAAGTATCCAAACTGCTGTCTGGTACCCTGGTACACGTCAAACTGCTGGACAGAAGCCCCCCGCCCGTCTCTGGAGGCGAGCCAAGCTTCAGTGTAATGCTGCGGCTCTGTTCCTCATCAAAAAGCAGAAACTGTCCAGTGTTTTTCTAACTCGCAATGGGAATTTGTGGATGTACCGTAGAGCAACAAAAAAAAGGCCCAGCTGCTTTGTACAGGATATTTTCACTTTGTGAGTCTCTTCTTATCTTCGGCTGTAAATGGCTGTTATAGCCTACTATTGGTAGAATGTATGCTTGTTTAAAAAAAAGCTTCATTACGACCGTCAGTGTCAATTTATATTTTTCTATTCTTCTCTCTCTATGACTCCAGAGAAAATATTTGTGAGGCGATGTACTGTACAGTTGTGATGCCTTATAACAATAAAAATTATCTCGTCTCCAGCCCTTTGTTGCACTCCAGTGAGGATATCTCCAGAACAGAGCACACTACAGTCACACTTTAGTACTAGTATTAGTGTCTGAGTATTAGTATCAGTATCCTATTATTAGTATTTGTATCAGAATGCTATTTTTCAAACCATCCTTGTATTATTAGTATTAGGGTACGGACATTACTGTTAGTATCCTAACATTAGATTTGAACTCATCCGGATATAAGTATTAGTTTCTGAATATTATTAATTTGAGTATTATAATATGAATATTAGTACCCAAATATAAGTATTTGTTTTGGAATATTAGTATTGGTATCCAAATATACATTTTAGTGTTTGAATATTAGTTTTAAACGCATTTTAATATTAAGTTTCCAAATATTAGTATCACAAGATTATTACTGTATGAATATTAGTTTTGAACAAATCCAAATGTTAGTATTATATCCCAAATATTAGTATTGGTGTCTGAATATTGGTATTGGTAACAGAATACTAGTATTAGTATCCAAATATTAATATAAGTATCGGAATATTACTATAAGTATCCAAATATGTTGGTATTTGAATATTAATGTTCAAGTCATCCTAACATTAGTATCCAAATATTAGTTTTCAACTCATATGAATATTAGTAGTCAAATATTACTATAACTATCAGAATATTAGTATTTGATTATTAGTTTTCAACTCATCTGAATGTAAGTATGCGTATACACATATTAACATTGGTTTTCTAATATAAGTATTAGCTTAAACTTCAAAGTGTTTAGTAATGTAAAGGCTGAGAGCATTTATGGTAGAAAAGTTTCATGCCTTTATTTACAAAATAATCTAACAACAATCCTCCTCCTTTTTACTCCGTAACAGTGTGAAAGATGTGTTTGAGGGTCAGGGAGGTGAACGCATGTTGAAGCTACACTTCAACTCACCTATGGAAGTTCAGGACACTACTATAACAACACAGCATTTATTCAAACGAGGAGAACATGCGGCTCTTCTACGCAGCATGAATTAACTGGAAAGCAATACAAAAGAAACTCATTCAAAAGGCCAGAACTACTAATTGTAGTTTTTTCCATTGAGTAAAAGGTTTGTCTTCGTTATAACGACTCCAAAACTCTAGTAAGCCTTATCATCTCAATTAAAACGTACTCTCTTCAAAGTATTCAAGATTAGCCTCACCGTGTCTTACAGCAGGCGAGGGGTTCTATACTTTATCATTCTTTCTTAGGGTCTAAATTCAGTAGAAATAGTTGCAAGACCATAATGCTTTGCTGCTAACATGCACAAATAATCCATATTGCTCTGAAGAATAAACACGGAAAACTTCGATAGTAAAGAGGAAACTGTGTTTGTTGTGTTAGTCTGATTGGAGCTTATTCAGGACATAACAAACACCTTATTACAAACAAAACATTCATGTGCACGTAAACACACTGACTCCCTTTATCATTATCATACAAAGCTCCAATGACAGAGGGCGCAATAAATTCAAGTTTAAAATATAAGCAGCTCATTTTAAGGCTGAGCGAGGTTGTTGTGAGACTAAAGGTTTGTGTGTCAAACGGGAACGTAGAAAAGGCAACAAAGAGGAGAGAGACACCAGAAACATTTTCAGCTTTCCATATAAAATCAGGTTAGAGCTTTTAAAGTGCAAAACATTTCTACAGAACGTTTCTTTTTAGGAAAACTAAAATCCCATCCTCTTAAATATTTTAAACTCCACCAGAACGTGTACACCGATTCTAAGGAATAAAAGTCACACACACGAAGCTAGCATGTGTGAGGACAGCTGTGACTTTCCTTAACGTATCTAAGGTGAGCAGAGCCTATGAGAAGCAGCTTGCTAAATGATGCGAGAGCTTTTTTGTTATTCCAATATAATCGTCCGGTTTGGGGTCACACTGATGGTGCACGTGGACCGAGGGGCGGTGGGGGCGGGTGTCACGACTGCTGCTTGTTGGCCTCCTCTTCGTAAGCGTTCCCCGTCCCGTTCTGGACGTAGGTGGAGCCGGAGCCCAGCCCGTACAGGTGGCCGCAGTACTTTGCATCGTCGATATGATCCTCAAAGAACATCTGTGGAAGATGAAAACACACGATGTTGAGAAGAGACACTTTTAGGATCATAGTATATGTGATGAATCGTAGTTTGTTTTGAACCCTTGGGACTCAGAGAATAGTTGCTCTGATCTCCTCTGATTAAAAATGGCAACAAATAAGGAGCCCTCATTACACACCAGTGATTACAAATATTATACTTATTTTCCACTTTCGCTGATTTTGTATTTAATATCAGTCCTAAATATTTCCACTAGACAATGGTTGAATGTACATTTCCTCAAGTATTGTACAAAAATGAAGGTACTTGTACATTATTTGAGTATTTTCATTTGATTTTATGCTACTTTATACAAACAGGTAGGCAAACAATCTACTTTTTACTCCATTACATTTATTTTACAGATTTAGTTACTTGTTCATTTTCTGATTTAGATAATCAAAACAAAATATAGATCAAATAATAAATGATCATATATTATATGTGTTGCTATCCAATAGTACATCCAATTATTAAGTGCAACATTGATAGTGGAGCCTCGCAGGTTGGGGTGCTGCAGCCCCCTCATCACCCGCCCCCCTTCCCGCGTCCATTCGCGATGTCTCCCTGTCTCGCAGATCCCACGCAGCAAGTAGGAAATGAACCCAGCTCACACTGTCCACTCCAGCAGCGAGCCGCGCAACGACCCAGACCCCACGCAGCATTCTCATCTGTTTGTCATTACTGGTGTCATTTTCTGGTTGCTAACGCCATTGTAACACATAATCACTGATGTTCCGCTGTAACGGTGGTGGACTCATCAGAACAGAGTGGGCGAGCTGACCAATCAGAGCACAGTGGCCTCACGGGGGGGGGGGGGGCAGGAGCTCCAACAAGCCGTTTAGGACAGAGAGTGAATACACATACTATACAGAGATGCTGTATGAGAAAACAATGTGAGTTTGGAACATTGAACAATGTACATCTATTCTAGTACAGTGGTTCTCAACTGGTGGGTCGCGACCATAGACTGTATATATAAATGGACGTAGTGTCCGTGACGTCACCCATAGGATTCTGCAGAGTTGCGGTGAAGCCCTTAGTAGGCGGAGTCGGCCACTAACGGCTTGACAGCAACGTCAGAGTCTAATCCCGCCTGCTCCAAATAAGGGCAAAGAGGCGGAGCCGAGGCGGGACCTGCTGCCTCCGAACTGGAAGTAAACAGAGCTAGCTCAGGCTAAGAAGCTAAGCTAACATGAAATGCATGCATACCAAGTTACTGTTTGTAGTTCCCCTATATAAACGTTACATTCATAATAAAATGAGACAATCTGCAAGGGAATTAGCTATATTTTGTTATTCTAAATGCTTGTCATTCACACGTTAAGAAAATAAGTACCGATACATAGCAGAACAATTGTGGCGATGTTCAGCTTAATAAGCCTTGTTCAACATAATTTATTTAGCTAATACTACAGCAGGCGAACCAAGTCTGCATTTCGCTGCATTCCTTGATCTCCAGTTATAACGACGGACTCCACCGCCCGGACCTAACGGAGCCGCAGTGGGCTAGCTCCGGGACGCCGGCTGGAGCTAGCCCCCTGCGGCTCCGTTAGCTCCGGCGGCCACCACTGGGATAATTGGGTCCCCTATTAACATTTGCTCCCGTTTAGCATTATGGGCGTCATAGCCATAGACTATAAAAGTCTTACCCAAGGCTGAATCATAAACTAAAATGTATATGTATTAGGGCTGTCAGTCGATTAAAATATTTAATCGTGATTAATCGCATGATTGTCCATAGTTAATCGCGATTAATCGCAAATTAATCGCACATGTTTTATCTGTTCTAAATGTACCTTAGAGGAATATTTTTCAAGTTTTTAATACTCTTATCAACATATGAGTGGACAAATATGCTTTATGCAAATGTTTATTATCATTTGAACAATGACAAATATTCTCATGAATATTAAACAACCTCTGAACATTACAAATATTCGCCTCAATTCAACCTGGAACCTCTCATTCAATAATACAATACAACTGTGGTGTGTGTGTGTGTGTGTGTGTGTGTGTGTGTGTGTGTGTGGTGTGTGTGTGTGTGTGTATGTGTGTGTGTGTGTGTGTGTGTGGTGTGTGTGTGTGTGTGTTTGCGCGCGTTGGAGCTATGTGCAACTCAAGGCATATGCTCGAACGGGAGCTGCCTGGACGCTGCAATCATGTTGCACTATCCGTGCTGAGTGTGCTGACTTTTCGTACAATGTCCCACTGTCTGGCTTCCTGCATAAAGTCAAGTGCTCGGCGCAGTTGTGGCGAAATGTCGCTCCTCTGTTTTCATTTAAACAGCTCCTTATATCCGTTAGCGCAGCTAGCTAGCACCAGATGCTAACAACAACAATGCACGTAAGGTCTCTCTCTCTCGCTCGCTCGTGCCACACATACACACACCCTCCCGGTCCTCCCAATAGCCAGTCGGTGCCTGCCGGTGAGCGTGGAAGTGTGGTCTGCCACAAGCGGGCGGCAGGAGCGGGGCTGTCAGCATCAGTTTGTAGATGGTATTTTAAACTCGATGCGCTCTGAAACTACGGGACGGCCGAGGAAAAAAAATACACATGCGTTAATTGCATTAAAATAATTAGTGGCCTTAATTTTTTTTTGCGTTAAGGCGTTATTAACGCGTTAACTTGACAGCCCTAATATGTATGCATAAAGGGTTACGTCCTTAGCTGGCTAATAAGTAACAAGCTAAGCTACCAAGCACACAAACACCTGCGAACGGGGTTAACATGTATAATATTATCATTTTAGACTTCTTGGAAGTTCTGTTAGTGCATTCAAGCGCACAGCACGACATTTTAATTGTCTGGTATTTGTAACAATATTCCCTAAAAAGGCACAATCACCACGAACACGGCTAAAGCTAAAGGGTCAAGTACAGTACTATGACTAACTAACGTTGTAGCCTCTATGGTTGTAGCCTAGCAGAGTGGACAAGTTGCTGTTAGCTGACAGTGAGGCATGTACATGTCCATCAAAGTGACCACGCCCTAATTTATGCAAAAACTTTAAGACCTAATATAAATAAAAGGGTCTTGTTAGAAAACAATTCACTCACAGATTCATAATCATGAAGGTGGAATCTAACTATATCGATAATAATATTTATTGCATCCATGGGTAGAAACATGTTTTTTTCTGCTGTAAAGTTGGGCATTTTAACATGGGGGTCTATGGAAATTGCTCCTTTCTGCAGCCAGTCCCTAGCAGCCCATGTATGAACTGCAGTGTGTGGTAGTTCCGTATTGGCGTCCCGGCTGTTCCCCAGAGTTTGCCCGCTTGGTCGCGACCCAAAAGTGGGTCGCGGACCCGTTTCGAGTGGGTCGCGGATGTGTGAGTGAAGGAAAAAAAAGTTGAACATTTTTTTTGGGGGAATTTCTTCTTTTTTTTTTGGGGAAAAAGTCAAACTTTTATTTTGAAGGCCCGATTTTCTAACGCTGTGCATGCAGTCGGCGTTGGACTGGAAGTACCGGAGACCATAAACGGTTTTGAAAACTTCTGTCACATAGTGATCATCTTCTCAATAAAATATCTTTGCTGATGTTTTTTCGAGTCTTCTGGCCAATCAGAATCAAGATTGTTGACAGAAGTCCCCACGGAGAATAATTTTGCGGTAGAACTCTTCTTTATACATCCATGGTTACAACTTCAGATAACAATGAACACATAATGAAATATGACTCCCGGTCTGATGACTGACGGGTCACAGAACAATGGGAGCTATCTACCCTTACCCACAATTTAAAGTAAGTCACACAGACTATCTCCTCTTTACTCTTCTCGCAGCAAGATGTCAGAACAAAGTGAAAAACAAACAATGGCATAAAATATTATTAATATGTCGGGTAGTAATAGATTTATTTATTTTCTTCTCAGTGTACCAGAATGCATAGTTTATGTTAGTATTTCTAAAAATCTCCTGGGGGAGAATCCCCCCAGACCCCCCTGCTGGGGTTGGGTGTTCAGCATGCTTGCCTTTTTATATAGTTCAGCTTTGATTCCATCATCTCATTAAACCTTTTTTAAAAGCATACTTTAGTTCTGTGAAGGAATATAAGGGATATATGCCCTGTACTTCACTTTTATTAATATTGTATGCTGAAAAAGCGTATATATATATTACAGCACGATTTTTTGTTGAATAAATTTGAGTGCTTCAAAATGTTGGGTCGCGATGTATTGACCAAGTAAAAAGTGGGTCCCGAGGCCTGACCAGTTGAGAACCACTGTTCTAGTATACCTCAACAATGGAATTATGATTAGTAGAAATGGCCATGACATGGGACCTTTAAGTACAATTCTGAATTAAGGACTTTTTACTTATTTTGACACTGCAGCATTGAGAGTTTTACTTAAGTAAATAATCTGAATACGTCTTGACATGGAATAAATTACAATGTTGGCTTCAAACTAACTGATGAGGGTATCAGTGAACCAGCAACTTACATGGTAAGTGAAAATGTACTGTTTAAATGAATGGAGTGTGGTTGCGTGGAAGTGAGTTTAGATAAAAGCTTAAATTGGTTGTCAGAAAGGGCTGTCTGAGGGCAAGGTAAATCGGTGCATTGTTTTCAATTAAGCCTGACCTTTTAATGATTTTTTAAAATGTGGTTGATATCGCTTTTGTGTCATCTCAATTTCAAACAATCCGAGCTATCGCTGTAAATTATGCTTTGGGCTGGTTTTGTGAAATTAAAATTGGATACACAACTCTTCACCCTGATTGGAGGAGCCTACCTCTCTCATCTTGAAGAAAGCCATGCCTGTGAGTAAGGAGTCGGAGCCGGCCTGGTGCTGCGGTCCGATCCTATCCAGCTCCAGCTGCTCAGCCACTTCCTGCAGCCCGCCCTGAAAACAAAACACACTCAGTCACTGAAAATACAAGCTTTGTATCAAAGTAAAACCACTAACAAGATCACAACAGGAGACACTGTGCTACCTGCTGAACTATTTATTAATGTACCTTCAGGTTTTTACAACTCTTCATGAGGTACTTGACATCGTAAATGACGGGGAAGTACAGGCGCAGAATCTCAAAGAAGTCCACCTCCTCCTCAGGCAGGTTAGCGTTGGACAGAATCTTGATCAGGTATCCAAAGTCATAGCCACTACAAAACACATACACACCATTTAACTATGTTTTATAAAGTGCACACAGCAGGAGGTTTTAAGAGGTCTTGTTCACATCCCTGTTCAGTCTGTACATTTGAGGACAGATAACTACACAAAGCCACGGCGTTACCCTAAAACAGTATCTTGTGGTTCGGGCCTTTGATTTAACAGCAAGCATCCTACTAATTAGAGGTCAAAACAATAAGATGTTCAGTGTATTCATAACGGCAATTTTATCCCAAAAATGTAGTTAATAAACCACACAAATTTAGATGAAATGAAGAAATACAATGATAAATACAAAATAAATAAATGAAAAACAAAATAACATGAGAGCCTGTTGATAAAGGAGTGTTCTAAATACCTGAAAGGGATGACAGTGGTGTTTCAAACCTAAGCTTTGTTTATTTTCCAACGCCTGGTTATCTTTAGCCTCAGTTTGCCATGGAGACACAGTGGGAAACTGAGTATGAAACGAAGATGTTAAGCAGCAGATTGTAGACATTTGCTAAAAAATAAAGAGTTACCACTAACTATCAGAGACCAATATAATAAGACATGTTTTCATTTAAATCGAGCAGCAAATTGGAGAGCAAATTTCAACAGGAGACTTTTCTTCATTTTAGGTGAGAGACAAAAACAGCCACAGTTCTGCGTAACATCTTACCTCTCACTAAGGTAAAGACACACAACGTAATAAATAAAGAACTAAAAAATATAACACACTTCTATAAGGCCAGAGCAATATATCATTAAACGTTTCAACCCAGGAGAAAAAGCAGACTGTAGTTGGGCTGATTTACATTTTGCCCTGGGTGTTCAGATGTACACGATTGAACCGTCTGAACTGGGATAAAGAAGCAAACAGTGCAAATTGGGTCACAGTGCCGCGTTAATTTGTGTTGCGTTAGTATAAACAACATGACAAAATGATCAACATAAAAATATGGTTGTTTAAAAATTGATGAATGGAGCCACTAGTAGGGATGGGTATCGTTAAGGTTTTAACGGCACAACTACTTTTATGGATACCGCTTATCAATCCGGTCTTTTAACGGTACTCTTACCGGTTCATTTGGGAAGGAAAAAAACGAGGTAAAACTAACAACAGTGTTTTAACAAATTGTATTAAATAATGTGATGACAGAAGAATAGCTGAAACTTTAACAAAATGAATAACTCCGTTACCTCTAATCATTAACCCATGTTTGTATAATTGAGTTGCTGCTAGCATACATAATACCTGACGTGGAAACGTTACTCGTGGATGGAGCTACAGAGCTACTAGAAAGACAGTCCAACCCGGTGCATTTCTTCGTCCGAATGTGCTGCACTTTTGCTAAATGTTTAGACAAATTGCTCGTGTTACCGCCCTTACATGCTAAACTCTTATTGCACTTTTGGTAACGAGCATTGTCCACATCGAGACGGGTAAAGTTTAACCACACTTTGGAGCGCGTTCTCTCCGCCATGTGTGTCTGTGTGTGTGTGTGTGTGTGTGTGTTTTAGATGTCTCCAGTACCGATAAAAAGACCGATAACGTCGGAGCTTAACGGCACCACGGTCTTTAATAATCCCGCCCCGGGGCCCCTTTAATACCGGGGCTCGGTACCCATCCCTAGTCACTAGTGTCTGGTGAGTCACCTTAAGTTTGAGGTTTACTAAAAAAAATCTTGTTTTTCGTTTGGCCGAAACAAGTTATGGATGCGAGTGTGCACGCCGCCATCTTGAATCATCACGTCAAAATACACAAGGGTCAAGTGAGATAGGTAGTTGTGAACCTCAGTATGTCCTGTTAAATACTTATTATACATCCATGGTTAAATATTATTAAATCAAATCCCACTGCAGACATGATGACTCTATCGCCCCCTGGTGGCTGGCTGCAGTATAGGTCAAAGACCCCTCCCTTTCCTTGTTAATGAAGGGACATGATCTAGATTCTAAAGTAAACAACAAAAATCAAATTACATGTCATTTGAGGTCGTTGTAATTATGGTGATGTGTCCATTTTTCTGATGGTTTTAATAATATGATGCTATGAAAGAGGGTGGGACGTCATGATTGACATCTGTGAGAGGGAGGATCGGGATTTGTACCTGTAATTTAAGAGTTTTCATAACTGTGATTGTCTGTTTTTCAAAATAAAGATCTGTTAATATAATCTATAGTTCATACAGTCACTGACCATGTTGCCAGCTAGCTTAGCAGCATATCTGCTAACAGTTAGTCAGAGTCGCACCATCTAGTGTGGCCATACAGTACAAGACATTTGCATGTTTCTGAAACACAAATCAAAATTCTGTTTCATAGAACATAGGTCAATTGGATTAAAATGTATTTATAAAGATATAATGGTGAGTTGTTGTGTCTTCAAAAAAGCAAATCAGTGACTGTGGTCCAAACACTACTTGGTTATACTGTAGCAGCTAGTTGGTTTCCAGGCGGTCCAATCCCCTATTAATATTGCACAGAATCTGGCTGCTAATTTCGTCCTTAGCGTAGGATGTTAGAATCTTATACAAGATATTTTGGCTTGATTTTTAAAGAGTGGGAGGAAGTGGAATGCTTCATCTTTAATGAACTGACAAAGAGAGAAAACGGAGGGCAAACCTATACGATTCCTTTTTCTTTATGCAGATGCCTAGAGAATATAATAGAAAAAAAGCGACTTACTGCAAATGCAGAATACCTAGAGTACCTGTGGAAAGACAGCCACTTGACCCCGTCACAGAGCACCACACCTGACGTCATCATCAGCTCTGCAAAGTACAGCGCCTCGATGCCTTCGTCCTCGTGCTTCTTGAACTGAATCCCTGAAGTGGTCAGGAGCTCGATGGAGTCCTGTGCATACATATCTTCTCTGAAGACAAACACACACCACACGGTTATTATATCAAACACAATGTTGGTACGAGAACAGTAATTGAACCTCATAATTATAAAAATAATCTGCATCTGAGGTGTTGTCCTGGGAGTTCCAAGTTCTACATTTTTACATCAAACAACATGCATCGTATTGATAGTATTTATAAAGGATAACTGATAAATGTGTAACTTTTATTACTGTTTCATTGGTGTATGCTGTAAGTGAGCTGAGATACTCGTTCATAAACACTCGCATGCATGCAATGGATGCATTTAAATGCCACATATGGAGTGAAAGAAGCCCAAAAGTAATCTTACATGAGGTTAAACTTAAAATTGAACTGCCATGTCGATGTTCCCGGAGGGTATTCCCCTTGTTCATTCATAAACGTGAGGCCCAGCTGGATTATCTTGAGCAGATCTACATTGCATCGCAGTAGCTGGTACTGATAGTCGGCGTTGCTCCTGAACTCTCCGATCGGCCTGGCTACTACACCTGGAAACTCTGTGTCCTGTAAGAGAAACAGACAACCCGTTATGCAGAAAAATAATTCTGTCTGCTTCACACAGTGTGCACTCTCTATTAGCACATCTCACCATAGCAATGTAGTTGTATTTTCGGATGACATGTCGGATCCTCTTCAGCTCCTCCTCCAGGTTATTTTCCCAAACCTCACATATTCTTTGACTGTGATCCACAGTGGCAGCGGGCATAGTGCCACTTCATGTAAAGAGACACATGCAAGGGGGAAACAAATACAGTTATCTACCCCAACATGCTGACAGAACAAGTAATGAGAGGTGGCAGGACAAAGGCATTCAGTACATGATTCCTAGGAAATACTGACCAACAATTTGGCTAACATTGTATAATTGTAATTGCAGGAGATACAACCTGCACTTGGGGTTAAATCACAGATGCCAGTCTCAACATTAGGGAAGCTACCTCAGAGTGGGATGCACCTGGGATGCTTCACATTACAAGGAGACATGTTGACAGCTGATTTAGGATGTGCAGGACGTGTTTGGCTGCATGTTGTTAGCATTAGCTCGCTTCAGGCTGTTTGCAGCAGCACTTTGGGCTAGCTAGGTCACCTGCAGCTGATAGCAGGCTACAAACTGAGCAGGACAGTGGAGGCTCTCAGCTGGGAGGATGAGTGCAGGTCTAACACACTCCTCTGGTTCACAGCTAGCACGACGGATACGTTAAGAGTGTGTGCAATACATGGAAAAGACTAGTAACTACCTGCACACTGCACATACATACTGTACACACACCAACACACACTTCGACAGTGCAAAGCTCACTGAACTTACCGTTCCCCGAACCGGGCGGGTGTGTGTTTAAGTGTGTGCTATCTGCAAACTGTTAATATGTCTATGATATTGTGTAAGGGGTTTTGCGCTAACTTTTAAATACTTTATATTCGGTAATGTATCGATGTCAACCTACGGCTGCCATCATAGCTGTGCCTGCCACAGGACGTCATCACGTACAACTGAGACGTGATGTGCGTAAAATGCTACGTTCTATTTGTTCAGTGCTCCTGCATCTTTGGTTGCGGTCAAATAGTCCAAAAATCAGCTCCTAACGTCTATCCCTTTATTATGGGCATAGATATGTCTCATAATTATTTGTGTGAACATAAAAATAATTTGTGTGTAAATATGTGATTTGTAAATGTAAAACAACATCCACAAATGCATTTAAAAGATTTGCAAACTCACAAATACATTTGCAAGTGTAAAACGGATCTGCAAATACGCTAAATATGTTCACAAATAAAAAAAGATCTGTGAATATCTCTTTAACATTTACACCTTTCGATCAGGCATTTGTGAATCCATTTTGTATTTGTGGACCAAAAATGCGCTTGCGGATCTCAAATCTCTGTTCACGGATCTCAAATCCCTGTTCGCGGATCGTCTTTTTACACACACGGAATTTTGAGACATATTTTCCGCCGGTATGTGTAATGTTCCTCTCGGGCTGCATTTAAAAATAAAATAGAGAAAATAAATAAAATAGCTTTTGAAAATGTGTGCATCTTAAAAGTGCTTAATTTTAGATAAATAAAATAAAGTGTAGCAGCAGCTTGAGTTTCCCTTTTTCTTTGTTAACCATTTCACATCATGACTTAACAGTTTCAGACCATTATAGAACAATATCAGTCTTTACATCATAACAATTGAACAGTTTTAAAGTGTCTCTTTATTTCCCTCTTATATTGCAGTCCCTCACTCACTTTGTTTAAATTCAGTGCGAGAATTGAGCTGGAGCTTGTCCTGCCAGGAGTTTGTAAATCTGGGCTGAAATGGTGTCAGGGCTATTCTCACACACATGCAGGTGCTCATTGGTTACAGTGATGCAAACACAGGTATGGTGAAAAAAGAGAGAACTATTCGAAGCAGAAAAAAAACAGCGTAATATACCATCTGACAAAGGCCTGTGCTATAATGCTTCAATTAACTGCTATTCTTTATAATATACTCAGATCAATAGGAGACAGAGATGTTAAGTTATAAATCAAGGGTTTTTATTATTATTTACAGCAGGGGTGGGGAACCTTTTTTTTTTTACAAAATCCTCCGAGGGTCGTACAAATGATTTAACTCAACCTCTGCTTAAAAAAACTAAAATCACAGCCCATTCATTTGGCCTTTCTTTCATGCTGTGCAAAGAAAAAGCAACCAATCCAGATATCTCACCATGACTCACGTATGCATGCATGTGCACGATGTGGCGTGACCACCAAAACAGAAAGATATGGACAGAAGATGTGTGCAAATGTATTTAGTTTCCTATCCATGTGAACATGATTTAAGTGGGGGGGGGAGATTTATTTTTTAAATATTGAAGTTAAAAGCATCAATCTCGTGCACTTTGAGAGCAACATGAAGAGATATATGGATACATCTTTCAACACCCATATGAAACAGAACTGTAAGCATATTTTTCTTTTTGGATATTTTACAAATCACTCCCCTTTTAAACTCTATTATTGTTATTTTTAACAACTTATTTTGTTACTGTCATATAGTATTTTATACCTGTTTTTCATTTAGTCTCATTAATAACTATAATGATCATATCAAGGTGTGCCTTAACCTCACTGAGCTGAGGTTATTTGAGCCTCTCAGGAGAGAGCTCTCTTCCACTTGGTTGTGGAAAAGCTCTTTAAATTCGTTAGCATAGCTAGCTAACCAGATGCTAATAACAACAGATCGCCACTGTGCTTACAACTAAAGACACAGCCACGCAAACACTGCGGCATGTGTACGGCTCCTTATGGGTACTGCAATAATAGGGCTGGAGCGGCGTTCTGTATGGAGGACGGAACATGACTTAAGTATAAATAAATAAATGTATGAAGAAATACAGGAATAAATAAATAAATACGTAAATAAATAAATAAATACAGGAATAAATAAATGACGAAATAAATAAATGTTGAAATGAACACAAATAAATAAATAAAAGAATAAATGCATAAATAAATATGGAAATAAATACATCAATGTATAAATAAATAAATAAAAGTCGAAAATAAAACAGAACACACGTTATTATATATCTTTCATTTATTTCTACATTTACGCGACATACATTTATTTATTTATGTGTCCGTATGCTAATGAGGTGGGCGGTCCTAACCTCAGTCTGAAGCAGGATTCGCCAATTGTTGGAGCCAGGCAGAAGCAATAGATTTGTGGCAAGTCACATCATGTCGAGCTGAGCCAAGTCCTCTATACATCGTTCCACACGAAACTGGACATAGTCTTTTGGTTCTCCGTTCTCTAAATGGTCCGCTAATGATCGTAAATGATCTCCAATGGCTCTTAAATCAATACCCATAAATAAACCTTACAACTGTGGATAAACCATGGATGTATAAAGATAAGGGCTAAACAGTAAAGCTCCTGCATTCGAATCAGCGCGGTTATCCAGGCGTTAGTAGTAGAGCCCTCTGCCAGAAATGATCACACACTCCTGTAACCAATCCTGCTTCAGACTGAGGTTAGGACCGCCCACCTCATTAGCATACGGACACATAAATACATAAATAAATAAATGTATGTCGGGTAAATGTAGAAATAAATGAAAGATATAAAATAACATGTGTTCTGTTTTATTTTCGACTTTTATTTATTTATTTATACATTGATGTATTTATTTCCATATTTATTTATGCATTTATTCTTTTATTTATTTATTTGTGTATTCATTTCAACATTTATTTATTTCTGTATTTATTTATTCCTGTATTTATTTATTTATTTAAGTATTTATTTATTTATTCCTGTATTTCTTCATACATTTATTTATTTATACTTAAGTCATGTTCCGTCCTCCATAGTTCCGGTGCTCTCTGTCAGCACTCCTTTCAGACATGTTACGCTCGTGTTGTGTTCAAGGAACCTGTCCTTGGCTAGGAAAAACAGATACTCGCTTGTTTAATTATTTTTGCGGTCTAGATTTCTTCTTCTTTTTTGAAGTGAGAAGTTGTCCGTCAGTCGGACTGACGGACGGACTCCCCACCCCCAAAACGAAAACTATTCGGTTCTCCACGAATTACACAAGTCACCCAAATCAGCGTTAAAAAAGTGGGAGGTGCCGAAAAATCCCCTATTAATGTATTGATTATAGCTCGGGTCCGTAGCCTATAGGTCGGCGTCTGGGTCCGGATCCGGACCGCGGTCCGCCTGTTGCCGACCCCTGGCTCTATCCCTATCGTATATCTCCTGACCTCTGTGTGAAACGTCACGTGGCGAAGTCCCTCCCCTTTCGGGGGACCTCCATGGGACCTTATTTCGGAAAAAGTATGTATTGAAGTCAATGGAGAGAGAAAGATTATCTTTTGATCGCGTTTGCAGTGGCGGTTCTAGACCAATTTGACTGGGGGGGGTCACTGGGGGGCCAGTTATTTTCTGAGGGGGGCACAATAAATGCAGAGAGGCAGGAGCTGCGAGACAGTAGCCTAGAAGCAGGGTTGGGTTGTAACCATAGGTTGTAATGGAATACATCTAACGTCGTTACGTAATCAGAATACCAAAATCAAGTAGGCTAACTGTATTCAGCTGGCGTTACATTTGAAAAAACGAGTAATCTGATTACAGTTACTTTCGTAAACCTGAAGTGAATACATTTTGGAATACTTATTGGAATTATTGGTGGAAAATGTAATATTCATTACCGGCAGAACTGTGTGCACACTGCACAGCGCTGCAGCATGTCTGTGAGCGAGAGAGAGATGCAGCGTGTCTGTGAGGCCCCGCCCCCGCACGCAATTGAGAGAGAGAGATCTCTTTTAAAATATATTGAAAGTTAGAAACGGAGATGGTTAGATAAAATGTGCAAGATAACGTTTATGTAGCATTTATTTATTGTCGAAATGATGACATTTCATAACGGGATCAAATCAAAGTGAATGGCCTGCTGCTGCTGAATGCATGGGGCAAGTGACTGGAAAAAGTTTTAAAAGTTATTGCATCGTTTCAGATAATAAATAATAATGATAATTCATTCTATTTAGGGGCGCCTTTCAAAGCACCCCAGGCCCGGACTGGCCATCGGGAGGACCGGGAGGTTTCCCGATGGCCTGGCCTGTTAAGTGGCCTGCTGGCCTGAGGATTTGTTTATTTATATGTATGTATTGTGAACGCAACGCTGCGCAAATGTGGTTCTGACTCTGCCTCACAGAGGGTGACTGGCTGTCTACATGATGTGGCCTGCCGACATGGCCACTTTCATACAGATCATACTCGATTGGTCTCTGTGTGTCATTCAAGCTCGGGAGGGTGTGTATGTGTGGCGCGAGCGAGTGAGATAAAGCGCGCGCACCGGTTACGTGTATTGTTGTTGTTAGCATCTGGTGCTAGCTAGCTGCGCTAACGGATATAATGAGCTGTCAACAAGGTGGGGGGAGAGTCCTCTGCTGTCAGACTGAGAAGCTGATAACTACAGCTCAGGTGAGGTAAAGGACTCTGAGTGTTTAGATAGTTAACTTAGTCTAAGTTATCTCAGTGGGTCTCAAACGGTTTGGTCACCATTTATGTAAACACATATTAACATTTGAAGGGGTAGTGATTAGTAAAATATGCATGAATAATACAAATAAAATGTTAACTAGGTGAAAAAAGGTAAGATAAACTTTTAAAACTTGTTGCGAGCTAAAACTAGTCTTTGCTGCTGCCAAAGAGGAGCAGGGGGAGAGGGGGAAGACAGGTGAGGCTGGTTCAGGAGCACAGACACACTCACAACTATAAATGAACCCCGGACCCCCCGGAACCCCCTAGAAGATTTGAGGTCCACCTCCACTTAAAATATGTTCACATGGATAGGTTCCTAAATAGTGACCCATGTCCATATGTTTATTCTGGGGTAGTAGATTTAAAGTTTAGGGCTATCACTATGGGCAGCAACGCTGTAAATATTGACAAATAAATCCAGGAAAATGGCACAAAAGAAAACTGGTAGTGGCCTGGCTGGGTGTATAATTCCCGGCCTGACTTTTTGTCCCAGTCCGGCCCTGCACCCAAGTACACCTTACAATTCATAACATATTCTATGGAAAGGTTTTAAGACAGTACAAAGAATGCAGTCCAGGTGATGTTTTTTATGTGGGGTGCAGATGAGAGGGAGCTGTCCAGAATGACACCAAGATGTCGTGTTTGAGTTCTTGATAAGCCATTAAAACAGTCAAATATGTGTCTCCTGCTCACCAAAACATACCCATCTGTTATGGAAAAATAAAGTATTCCAAAAGTATTCTAAAAGTAATCTGAATATGTAACTGTAACTGTATTCTGATTACTTTCAGAGCATGTATTCAGTATTCAGTAACTGATTACATTTACAAAGTAACCCTCCCAACCCTGCCTACAAGTGATCCTTCGCTAGCGTGAAGAGTCTGCTAAGCTTTATGCGGTCCGCAGTACCTGAGCATGCTCCACTAGCATTGTGGACTATATAAAAATCGCTGGCCCGCGATAGTGTCTATTGCAGTGGTTCCCAAACGGTGTGCCGCGGCACACTGGTGTGCCGTGAGGCAAGTCCGGGTGTGCCGTGGGATTTTGTGACAACCATACGTTATTATTGCAATATACAACTACAAAAACATAATTATTTTTAAATTTACTATATCAGTACTTTGTAGGTTTATATGTACGTAATCTGCGCGATTTGCGCGTCCACATCTCAACCATGGATGTATAATAAGAACTGGATACAGCGTGGGAGGCGGGGCCTCATTCATTCCTATGAGAGTTGCTCATTAGCGCATGATGACAAAATGGCCCAATTTTTGAGAGAGCGAAACGTCACAGATTACCCGGCATGCCTGAGAAGTACCCGTATGTGCACTCATAGCGCATGCGTAACTTTAACCACGCCGCCCAAAAGGCTCGTTCACATTAAGCACGTGAATTTGCGTACACGTAACAGCACCGCGCGTTCATGACAGCATGGTACTGGATTTATATTAACGAGGCGGCAGTTAGCAGCTAGCGGCTAGCTAGTAAATTATGCTAACTTACACATAAATCGTTATGTACTTTTATATTACGCTGACATCAGGATCTAGTGATATCCAAGCAACAGAGCTTCATTTAGCATGATACTTGTGTACATGAAACCACTTGGTAATATATACAAATGTATATGTTGAAGCCTGTTATGATCAATTGTGAGTTAAAACTTTATCTAAAAAGTAAAGCTGATGATGGATTACTGTGGTGGAGTTAAAATAACAATATCCTATTTATTTTTGAAATGTGATGGAGTAAAAGGATAGTAACTGTGATTATTCATGTTAAGTAGCCCACAAGTAACTAAAACGTATAATACTTGAAGGAAAGGTGTAAAATGTTCCCATAAATACCAATATCACAGTACAACACCCCTTGTTGTTAAATACCAACCATGTGTATATATATATAAATTAGGGCTGTCAAACGATTAACATTTTTAATCAGATTAATCACAGCTTAAAAATTAATTAATCATGATTAATCACCATTCGAACTATGTCCAAAATATGCCATTTATTTATGCATATTGTTGTGGGAATGGAAAGATAAATGAAAGAAGGCGGATATATCCATTTAACATACAGTATCTATGTTTATTATAACATTTTTCTGCGTGTCAAAATGAAAGACAACCCACACACCTATCAATCATCAAACCGTGGGGTCTTAATTCATTACGTGTTGATTTCTATCAACGGGTACTTCAGGAAAGTCGACGGGGGGTGGGGGCTAGTGGATTGATTGATTGAAAAGTTTATTAACAGCTTGTATATTGGGTACAGTACAGTACAGCTCAAAACATACAATTGTTAAGGGGATGCAGACCAGAGAAAGACCTTCGTCTTGTTTACATCATGTCATTTAAGACATATAAGACATATTTGACATACAGATGGCTTATTTACAATTTACATACAGGTGGTTTTTTACATACAGATTGCTTATTTACAATTTTCATTTTAGATTTCGTTCTAATACATCCTAACCGGACATTTAAGACATACCAAGTCTACAGATATACAGTTAGTAACAGAGTCTAAAATGCGAGTATATACATAGATGGGGGGGGGGGGGGAAGCTGTCCATTGAACGACAGGTTGAGATTTGTACCATTACCGGGGCCAGTTTTTAGTGGAGTACTTCGTGACCACAGAGTGTGAACGTTGTGATCAGCTGTTTTAGCGCAGTTCTCCAGTGAAGGGGGGGGGGGGGGAGTCTCCCTCCGTAGCCGGTTGGCGTAGTTTTGGCACAATTCCGTTGTACAGACCGACGTTAACAGCAGCCCTGTCTGTGCACACGGAGACCGACTCTGTCGTCCGGTGATCTAACCGCCTTCTGGAAAAGCTTCACAAGTACGTCGGTACGCAAATGCGCTTTGTGACACAAGTGACGGTACGCATTTCAGATTACGCACATAACCTGCGTACCAGTTATGTGCACCCCTATACTACAGCAAAAGTATTCTCCGTCGGGACTTCCTGCAACAACACCACGCCGTTATCAAAGATGTTCTATTGAGAAGACGATCACTACGTGACAAAAGTTTTCAAAACCGTGGCTACTGAAATCAATCTTACTAACTGCTGTCTGTGCAATTTACTCTGCGCGAGTTGGCAGACTTTATTTTGCTTCCTTTAACATCATTTTTCATGGTGGGGCTAAGCCATTTATTGGTATGGGTGTAGCCTACCCCAGCCATACCCAGGCGCTGCCACTGGTGGCACGTATGGGGCGGGCCATTCTGCACATGCGTTAAATGCGTTAAATATTTTAACGCAATTAATTCAAAAAATTAATTACCGCCGTTAACGCGATAATTTTGACAGAACTAATATAAATATATATATAAATATGCCGCTAAAACTGTGTAATATACCAGGCTGCTAAATCCTCCAAACTGTTGTTGTTGGATGTGTATTTTGTGAAATGTGTATTTTTTTTAAATTATAATTTCTTGTTTTGAATCTTTAATACTTTTTTATGCATACTTTAAGTAACATTAGGCTCTCTTTGGCTCTTTTCTGCTGTAACAATGTAAATGTATTCTGATCTAATTGATGTTTTTGTCAGTTTGTTTCCCTATATTGTGACACTTATTTGGTTTAAGATTATTTCTCCTTTTTTTACAGACATCCCCAACCATAGTGGAATGCTGTTGTAAAGGATTGCATTGATCCGTGCATCAATACCTTCACCCAGCTTTGAGGCCTCCAATGAATGAACATCATCTTGTGGCTGGGAAAAATGTGAACAAATAAATCTCACAAAGAGTGAATTTCTGGTGTAATCATTATAATATCAAAGACAAGCACTTTAAGTAACAATATATAAAATCATTCAGCAGCAGAGGATGGGATGGAAACAGCATTTCTAACTAAGATGATTACAATATTACAAGTTAAACATCAAGATGAACATACTATTATTAATTTAAAAAGTACATGGGAGACTTAAATATCCTGCAATATACCATTAGCAGAATTGGAACAAATGTGCCAAAACATTTCTAAAATAAACATAAACATAAACTGAGGGCTTTCTTCCTGAGCCGCTGGGAGTAAAGGTCCTCCATGGATGGCAGCTCCGCCCTGGTGATGTTCTGTGCAGTTTTCACCACCCTTTGGAAAGCCTTACGAATGAGGGCGGTGCAGCTGCCGTACCAGGCCGTGATGCAGCTGTGTCTGTGATGGACACTGAGGAACCTGAAGCTGCTGACTCTCTCTACCGTAGTCCCATTGATGGCGATGGGGGGTGTGTCCCTCTCTTTGCTGCTTCCTGCAATCCACAATCAGCTCCTTGGTTTTGCTGACGTTGAGATGGAGGTTGTTATCCTGGCACCAAGATGTCAGGTTTTCGACCTCCTCTCTGTACGCCGTCTCGTCGTCTGGGTGAGGCTGGTGAGGCTGGGGAAGATGAGTGAGGGAAAGAGAGAAACAAAACAGGGGGACTAAGATGAGTGAGGGAAAGAGAGAAAAAGACAAGGGGACTAAGATGAGTGAAGGAAAGAGAGAAAAAGACAAGGGGACTAAAGTTTAAGAGAGAGGAAGAACACAGAATGTGAGTGAACAATTTAATTTAATTACACATTTAAAAAAAATAGTGTGAGTAAGTGAAGACATCCTTACAAGGAGGACTGCCCTGTCAAATTTAAAAGTTATTCTTGTTAAATATACATATCCTGTTGAGGCTAGAATCCAAAATGCAGAACCACTTTAGATTGTAGCCTCAAGGGACTGTTTAAGGTTACTTAAAAACATATCATTTCCCAAAATGGTGAAATTAACTCCATCTCTTAGAAATATGCCAGGGCAGTCAAACTTAATGCAAGGATGCCTTACACTCTACCCAAACCACTAACACATTTACCCATCTCTCTGTTCACCCACATTCTGGCCTTGTTCAGCTTTCCCGGATTGGCTTTCCTCCAGTGACATCTCTCATTGATAGAAGATAGAATTTTCTTCATCTCTGAGAAGTTGTCACTGAGGGAAAGCAGGTCCTGCTTCATCGCTGTGACAAGCTCCACACCTTTGATGTTGCCAAGGTCGTTGCCGCCACAGTGGATGAGCAGGACATCCGGGACTGTTCTTCCTCTCAAGGACTGATAGAAAAAGGGAAGAAGGTTCCTCCACCTCAGACCACCCTTGCCAAACCACCACACACGGCAATTGAGACCCAGGTTATTTCCCATGGTGTGTCTGGCTCTTTCTTCCCCACGTCTAACGTAGCTGCTCCCAATTATCCACACATTGGGACCTAGATAAAATAAAATATATTGAAAAAGGAAAAAGTGGTTACTGGTGATCATCTTTTAGAAAAAGGTGGTACATGTAGCCTGAATTGTCATATCATTTTCATCATATTTTTAAGACTACACAAGTTTAATTTGTATATTATATTACATATAACTCTATACTTGTATATAGAATCATGATGAAACTTTATAAGGATTAAGATTATATATTAATATTACATTAAATAATGCATGACGATTTCATGCATTATTACGAAGCAGGATGTATCAAGTCACTGACTTTTTGTGATAAGGTCACAATCAACTGATTTCACTTATCAGATGTAAAAATAAGGTACAATATATATTTTTTTGCCATATGAAAGTAAAGGGTATGCAATCAAAAAATTACTGAAACAAAATGAATAAAAATTCTTATAAAAACTATACAGCACCTTGTCCAAGTATGGCGGGAGGCCCACTTTCCTTCAGGATTTCCTCTCTGGATGTCGATCCGGCTATTTCTGCCATCTATAAATAAAGTACAAATGATTAGCTCTTCACGCCTCTTTAAAATAATATGTGTTCTTGAAGATTCTGTATGCATCGTCGTTTACAATGGTAGGGACATTGCATTGGAAATTAGTTGTGAAAAAGACATGTCATTTTTAGTTTTTTCATCTCACATTTATAGATTTTAAATATAAATATATATATATAAAACGAATTATAAATGCAAAGTCTGGTTTCTAGAAAGTTAGCTAATGCATACAGAGTTAACATTGCAGAACTGCTGGCATGCATACATTTCTAGCATTTTGGTACTACGAACTATGAAAAGTATGGAAAATTACTGTGCAAACACCCAACATTAGCTTAGCCACAGTAGCGGTTGCTGATGAGTGGTTTGGCTTATTTTACTCTTTTATATGAGAACATGTTACATTACATACAGACATTAAGGAGGCAGGTTAGAAAATAAATATGTTTTCGTATCTTACCTTTTGGAGCAAACTGTTGTCGGTTGTTAGCATAGACTGTATATATAAAGTGTTGTCTCTTTAGTATGGAGTCAGATTTGGGTCAATATTCTAGCGCGTAAAACAAGCTACTCACGAGCGGAAAATGTGCTTTTACACGCGCATAAAATGACCCTCGCCCGCAGATTAAACCCCCGCGAGCGGCTCTGCGCCCGCGAGCGGCTCTGCGCTCGCTCGCGAGAGAGACAGCCCTCTTGCTCGCTCGCGGGAGTGTCAGCCTCGCGGAGTCTGTCTACACGCGCGTGAAAAGTTTCTGACACTTTGGGGCGGAGCCACTGGACTTTGATTGACAGCTGCCAGGAAACCCAGGGTTGCCAGGTTTGATAAATGCCTGAACTACCAAGAGCCGAGGAGTGACGGCGGCAAAATCAGTTGGACGAGATTGAATGGTAAAGTTGTCCATAAAAAACTATTATATTCGTAAAGTGTACAGCTAATATATATATATATATATATTAGGGCTGTCAAACGATTACAAAATGTAATCAGATTAATCACAGCTTAAAAATTAATTAATCATGATTAATCACCATTCGAACTATGTCCAAAATATGTCATTTCTTTATGTATATTGTTGTGGGAATGGAAAGATACATGAAAGAAGGCGGATATATCCATTTAACATGTTTATTGTAAAAAAATGCTGTGTGTCAAAATGAAAGAGAGCACCTATCAATCATCAAACCGTGGGGTTTTAATTCATTACGTGTTGATTTCTATCAACGGGGGAGTAGGCTACTTCAGGAAAGTCAACGGGGGAGGGCAGTGGAGTACTTCGTGACCACAGAGTGTGAACGTTGTGATCAGCTGTTTTAGCGCAGTTCTCCAGTGAAGGGGGGGAGTCTCCCTCCGCAGCCGGTTGGCGTAGTTTTGGCACAATTCCGTTGTACAGGCCGACGTTAACAGCAGCCCTGTCTGTGCACACGGAGACCGACTCTGTCGTCCGGTGATCTAACCGCCTTCTGGAAAAGCTTCACAAGTACGTCGGTACGCAAATGCGCTTTGTGACACAAGTGACGGTACGCATTTCAGATTACGCACATAACCTGCGTACCACTTATTTGTTACCTGTACTACAGCAAAAAGTATTCTCCATCGGGACTTCCTGCAACAACACCACGCCGTTATTTTGATTCTGATTGGCCAGAAGACATTATCAAAGATGTTCTATTGAGAAGACGATCACTACGTGACAAAAGTTTTCAAAACCGTTTCTGGTCTTCGATATTTCCAGACAAGTGGCTACTGAAATCAATCTTACTAACTGCTGTCTGTGCAATTCTCGGCGCGAGTTGGTGCACTTTATTTTGCTTACTTTAACATCATTTTTCATGGTGGGGCTAAGCCATTTATTGGTATGGGTGTAGCCTACCCCAGCCATACCCTGGCGCTGCCACTGGTGGGATGTATGGGGCGGGCCATTCTGCACATGCGTTAAATGCGTTAAATATTTTAATGCAATTAATTAAAAAAATTAATTACCGCCGTTAACGCGATAATTTTGACAGCATTAATATATATATATATAAATTAATTTTATATAAAACAATATATTTTTGAGTGGGCTGTATCTGTCGAAAATTGCATATATATATATATATATAAATTAATTTTATATAAAACAATATATTTTTGAGTGGGCTGTATCTGTCGAAAATTGCTAGCTACTGTCTGCTGTACACTCTTAGAAGGGATGTGTCAAAAATGACACAACATGTGTTGAATTTCAACACACCTACAGAGTGTGCTCAGGGACAACACGTGTTGTGTTTATTTATGTGTAAATCATTTTTACACACAAAATGTGTTACATGCCCCTAACACACAATGTGCACATTTTACACATTGTGTGTCATAAATGTGTAACCAAGATGAACACACTCATTTGTTATTTCTGCACATTTTGTGTTATATATATTTCTTTAACCAGAATTAACATTTGATTGTGTTATATCTGCACATTGTGTGTCAATGACGATTACTGGAAATACCAGGTGGTGGATATGGTTTTTATTCAAAAAATCGAATGCAAGAATACATTCATTGGACATTTATTTACAAGGATTTCATTAGCACAATATGTCATTAAGAAAATAATTGTTAACATTTAAAAATATTAATATTTTTCTAATTCATCAAATGTTGACAGAATAGATAATTCATAAAATCACACCTAAAAAAACCTTATACCTTGGTTAAAACAAACTTAATCTTCAGCAAACTATTGTTGTAAATGACTTTCAGCTGAGGGAATATAGTGATGAGATTCTTCACAAGGACCACCTTTTCAGTGTTGGATGGATAATTAAGGATAAAAATGAATGACAAGTGAGCTATTTATTTATTTTCAAAAAGAATACAACAGTTCTAGCATACAAATATTACAAATGCGTGATAATAAAGTAATTGGTTATAAAGAATGTCCTTTTGTATCAAGCAAATAAAAAAACAATTTTTACAACCAATTATATTTATATATATAGGCTATGCAATTTTCGACAGATACAGCCCACTCAAAAATATATTGTTTTATATCAAATTAATTAATATATATATATATATATATTAGCTGTACACTTTACGAATATAATAGTTTTTTATGGACAACTTTACCATTCAATCTCGTCCAACTGATTTTGCTGCCGTCACTCCTCGGCTCTTGGTAGTTCAGGCATTTATCAAACCTGGCAACTCCGGGTTTCCTGGCAGCTGTCAATCAAAGTCCAGTGGCTCCACCCCAAAGTGCCAGAAACTTTTCACGCGCGCGTAGACAGATTCCGCGAGGCTGATACTCCCGCGAGCAAGCAAGAGGGCTGTCTCTCTCGCTCGCGAGCGCAGAGCCGCTCGCGGGCGCAGAGCCGCTCGCGGGCGCAGAGCCGCTCGCGGGGGTTTAATCTGCGCGCGAGGGTCATTTTATGCGCGTGTAAAAGCACATTTTCCGCTCGTGAGTAGCTTGTTTTACGCGCTAGAATATTGACCCAAATCTGACTCCATACACATCACATGAACGTGCCGGGCAGCGCGGTCCCGTGGGTTAGATGCGCGTTCATAACGCAGAGGGAAATAACTCTCAGAATAACGTTATTAGCACATTTTTACAACTTGAGGAACGAATGTTTTTAATAAGGGCTATACAAGTCTTCATACTGGGTTGTTTATTTAGTTTAAAAAAAATTACAGACCACTCTTTCCCCATGTAAGTCAATGGGAAAAAGTGTTTCCGGGCTCAGCAACCAAACGGAAGTGTAGTACCGCCGTTTGGCCACTACGAATATTCTCATCAGACTCCGGCGCACTTCTTGGGGGCTTGATCTCAACGTGCAGTGCTGCATTTCATGCTGAGTCAGCGATAACTTTCGAGGGGTGGAGGTATGCCCATTATTTTGAGTTCGTCCGAAGAATAGACAGGAATGTGACGGTGAGGTGCAAACTGTGTCCAGGCCAGAAGCTGTTATCCACTGCTGTAAACATCACGTCAAACCTCAACAAACACCTGCAAAGAAAGAACACATGCTTTTTTGTTTATATCACGGAGTCTGTTCTTCTTCTCTGTTTTCCGGTTGTTGCCTGTTTTGAATGACAAATACACACTACCGCCGCCTGCTGGTAAGGAAAGTTATTGCCACTCACGCATGCGCAGTTCGTACGTGCTCGGCGAGTAAAGTAACGAGTTACTTTATGTAGAGAGTAACGAAGTAGTGTAATATATTACTTTTTTAAAAAAAAGTAATATGTAATATATAACAACCCCATCTCTGGAGTTGGCGTTCTCTACTCTGGTTTACATGAAGAACAACAGGAGGTCACGGCTCTCTGTTGAACAGGACAAGCGAGTGGCCCTCTCCTCAGTGCCACCAAGGATTAAAAAATTCTGTGCGCCTCGACAGGCACATGTATCTCACTCATTTGTAAGTCGGCAAAAATATTTACAATAGCACATGTTTCAATGCTGATTGCTGAAATGTTACATTTATAATTTGTAGTTCAGGACCATGGACAATGCAGCTTCCTTGCATTGACAGTTCTCTGTGCTGAATTTCTGCTGAGTTTCCTTAGCCTCATTTTTAATTTTGTGACCTGTCTGGTTTAAATGAGTGTGTTGCTGCTTTGATGAAGCCTAATTTGGTAAAGTTTCAAATTAATTTCTGAAATATTTTGTTAATAAATATTTCATGAGTAATATAGTTGTCTTTGTCACATTTTATTTGGCATTAGTAAATAATTATGCACATTTACAGATATTTTACATGATATGAGTGATAACACGTGTTATAAGCAGGGGTGCACATAACTTTTTTGCCCTGGTTCTCAAAGGAGCACCTGGAGATGTTGCTTGGTGCTCATCCTTAAAATGAAATAAACTGTAACTTTTGAGGGGGTCTTGACTTTATTTGCCAGACACACGGCACTGAACACACATGCAGAGGTGAACACAGAACACACATGCAGAGGTGAACACAAGACAACATTAGCACGACCAGTAATCCTACAAGCTGTCATCACTACCCTCCTGACTGTTCTCCTCACTGTCAGACATGGTAGCTGATGATGTAGGCCTACTACTTCCTCTCTGGTTGAGTCTGCGATTAGCTGCTTGCATCCACAAGTCAACAGCTGGTTTTGGGTCGAAAGTCTCTGTTGTCATCTTAGACAAGTGGATGTAATCAAATAAGGCGGAAAATATGTCTCAAAATTCCGTGTGTGTAAAAAGACGATCCGTGAACAGAGATTTGAGATCCGCAAGCGCATTTTTGGTCCACAAATACAAAATGGATTCACAAATGCCTGATCGAAAGGTGTAAATGTTAAAGAGATATTCACAGATCTTTTTTTATTTGTGAACATATTTAGCGTATTTGCAGATCCGTTTTACACTTGCAAATGTATTTGTGAGTTTGCAAATCTTTTAAATGCATTTGTGGATGTTGTTTTACATTTACAAATCACATATTTACACACAAATAATTGTTATGTTCACACAAATAATTATGAGACATATCTATGCCCATACACCCTCCCT